ATAAACGTTCCCTCCTATACCAGGAATCCTTAGGGCGTGGAGGTGCCTGTCTCTAAGGTAGTAACTTTTTAATTTTTAATACAATTTTACTTCCTTCAGACACATTATAATTAAAATGTCAAGAATTAAAGAGAGAATCCTAAAAGCTATAAGAGAAAAGCAACAAGTTATATACAAAAGAAACCCCATAGGGCTATCAGCTGACTTCTCAGCAGAAACCTTACAGGCTAGAAGGGAGTGGCATGATATATTCAAAGTGCTGAAAGGAAAAAAACCTACAGCCAAGAATACTCTACCTGATAAGGTTACCATTAAGAATGGAAGGGAGATAAAGAGTTTTCCAGACAAGCAAAAACTGAAGGAGTTTATTACCACTAAACCAGCCTTACAAGAAATGTTACAGGGACTTATTTAAGTGGAAAAGAAAAGACCACAAACAGGAATAGGAAAATTATCAAAGAAAAAATATCACAGGTAAAGGCAAATGTACAGTAAAGGCAGTGGATCAACCACCTATAAAGCTAGTATGAAGGTCAAAAGACAAAAGTACTAAAATGATTTAATTTCATGATAAGAAGATAAGGGATACACAAAAATAAAAGAGGTAAAATATGATATCAAAAGCAGAAAATGTGGGGGGAGGGAAGTAAAAGTGTAGGGCTTTTAGTAAGAGGTCAAACTTAAGAAACTATCAATTTAGTACAGATTCCTGTTTACACAAGTTATTATATATGAACCTCATAGTAATCACAAACCAAAAACCTGCAATCAATACACAAAAAATAAAGAGAACGGAACCCAAGCATAACAATAAAGAAAGCCTCTAAATCACAAGGGAAGAGAGCAAGAGAAGAAGAAAGGGACAGAGAAGAACTACAAAAACACCCAGAAGAAAAGTAACAAAATGGCAATAAGTACATACTTATCAATAGTTACTTTAAATGTAAATGGACTAAATGTTCCAATTACAAGACACAGGGCAGTTGAATGGATAAAAAAACAAGACCCATCTATTCCTGCTTACAAGAGACACACTTCAGACCTAAAGACACTCATAAACTGAAAGTGAAGGGATGGAAAAAGATAGTCCATGCAAATAGAAACGAAAAGAAAGGTGGAGTAGCGATACTTTTTTCAGACAAAATAGACATTAAAACAAAAACCGTAACAAGAGACAAAGAAGGGCATTACATAATGATAAAGGGAACAATCCAGCAAGAGGACATAAAACTTGTAAATATCTATGTGCCCAAGATAGGGACACCCAAATACATAAAGCAATTATTAACAGACATAAAAGGAGAAATTGACAGTAACAATAAAAATAGGGGACTTGAACACACCACTTACATCAATGGATAGATCATCCAGACAGAAGATCAATAAGGAAACACTGGCCTTAAATGACACATTAACTAGATAGACCTAGTAGATATATATGTAACATTCCATCCCCAAACTGCAGAACACACATTCTTTTTGAATGCACATGGAACATTCTCCAGGATAGATCACATATTAGGCCACAAAACAAGTCTCAATAAATTTAAGAAGACTAAAGTAATACCAAGCATCGTTTCTGATCACCACGGTATGAAACTAGAAATCAACTACAAGAAAACTGGAAAAGGCATAAATATATGGAGATTAAATAAAATGCTACTGAAGAACTATTGGGTCAACAAAGAAATCAAAGCAGAAATCAAAAAATATCTAGTGGCAAATGAAAATGAAAATATGACATACCCAAATTTATGGGACACAGCAAAAGTGGTACTAAGAGGGAAGTTTACAGCAAAACAGGCCTACCTTAAGAAAAGAGGACAATCTCAAATAAACAATCTAACAATACACCTAAAGGAAGTAGAAAAAGAAGAACAAACAAAGCCCCAAATCAGTAGAAGGAAGGATATAATAAAAATCAGAGTGGAAATAAATAAAATAGAGACTGAAAAACAGTAGAAAAATAATCAATGAAACTAAGAGCTGGTTCTTTGAAAAGATAAACAAAATTGACAAACCTTTAGCTAGACTCACCAAGAAAAAAGAGAGAAGGCTCAAACAAATAAAATCAGAAATGAAAGAGGAGAAATTACAACAGACACCTCAGAAATACAAAGGATTATCAGAGAATACTATGAAAAGGTATATGGTAACAAACCGGATAATCCAGAAGAAAGATACATTCTTAGAATCATACAACCTTCCAAAACTGAATCAAGAAGAAACAGAAAATCTGAAGAAACCAATCATTAGTAAGGAGGTCAAAACAGTAACCAACAACCTCCCAAAAAACAAAAGTCCAGGACCAGACAACTCCCCTTGTGAATTCTACCAAACATTCAAAGAAGACAATACCTATCCTTCTCAAACTCTTCCAAAAAATTGAAGAGGACAGGACACTTCCTAACTCACTCTATGAGGCCAACATTGCCCTGATACCAAAACCAGACAAGGACAACACAAAAAAAGAAAATTATAGGACAATATCACTGATGAACATAGATGCAAAAATCCTCAACAAAATACTAGCAAATTGAATACAACAATACATTAAAAGGACCATACATACACCATGATCAAGTGGCATTTATTTCAGGGATGCAAGGATGGTTCAAAATCCGCAAATCAATCAATGTGATACACCACATTAACAAAATTAAGAATAAAAATCACATGATCATCTCAATAGATGCAGAGAAAGCATTTGACAAGATACAGCATCCATTTATGATAAAAACTTTGAATAAAATGTGTATAGAAGGAAAGGGCCTCAACATAATAAAGGCCATATATGACAAACCCACAGCTAACATCATACTCAACAGTGAAAAATTGAAAGCCATCCCTCTAAGAACAGCAACAAGACAAGGATGCCCACTTCTGCCACTCCTATTTAACATAGTATTGGAAGTCCTAGCCAGAGCAATCAAGAAAGAAAGAGAAAGAAAGCAGATCCAAATTGGAAAAGAAGAAGTAAAACTGTCACTATCTGCAGATGACATAATTTTATATATAGAGAACCCTAAAGGATGCACCAAAAAACTATTAGAAATAATAAACAAATGCAGTAAATTTGTAGGCTACAAAATCAACACACAAAAATTAGTTGCGTTTC